AGCGTGTTTATTAGCCACTGGGGCCTATTTGTGGCTTTCGTTTTCGAGATGGAGCAGAAACCGGTGATTAATCCGTGTAATACGGCCTTAAACACCGACCGATCCCCATGGACACACCCGGTGAATGTCTCCTTCCAGTTTAACCTGTGCACTTCGGTTCTCATTTGATTAAAGTTTCCGCGCTGTACATTTTATTATCCCTTGACAATGGCCTCGAGCGAGAGTCCGAAACGTCGGGCAAATAAAATATTGGTCTCAGAGAACGTACCTCCTCTTTCTAATAACTCTTCGAAGTTTTAAGTTCAAATGTAATAATTACAGCTTTTGTTGGAACGGAATCGATAAAAAAACTTGTCCTGTCCTTGAACCCTGTGTGTTTAACCGCACTATCCAAGTTATAAAAGGCGGTGTAATAAACAGGACAAATTATTTGCGCCGAAATGGGTCTACGCATAAAATTCGTGGGTAGAAGCGTTAGTGGGGAGGAGGAGATTCATATTTGGAGTCAACCCGCGACTTCTTCCCCCATAAAGTTAAGTGAGCTATCAGAAGTCGTAAGTGAACTATTTGGCTATCCTCCGGCGTCGAAACTCACGTTTACATGGTTCGGTAAGTGTATGAATTCACTTTGCACGTCACGCACCCTGTGCACTGAACTTACCCTTTTCCCACGTTCTATTTTACACGGAAACCTTAATACCTAAGCGTTTCCGATTTAATCCATCTAAACTGACTGAGGCTTTAAAGCCTCGAGGAATTAATCCCTCGAAGTCTCTTTCGTATAATTCCTGTCGTATGCTGCTGATGAGCCGCGTGCGGTCCTTTCTATAGGAGATCCTTAAGGCATCTTACGACTTGCCAATCCTAGCCTCTGAGCTTCCCACACGAAGTATTTGATTGTTTCTGATGAAAATGTGCGCATTCTCAAGGAATCTGAAGATTGGGTCATAACTGCCACCTGATTAACATGCATAAAAACGTATTTACATAGCCAGTGGCCTTTTGTTTCAAAACGAACACTTATCTCACTTGAACAAATAATTTTAGTTGGTCTATTATATATCGCGCACACAGAACTCACGCGTTATTGTCTAACTCCGGTTTTTGTGCACATTCATGTGAGTCAAGCCACGTTTCTCGCTTCCTTTTTGTGCTTCTCCACAGCAGTATTAAAATATGTGGGACGTTCTATTGTCCCGTTTCCCTATATTCTAGTAGTCCTGTCTAAACTCCGAGGACGTTGCCTTTGAAAATTTTCGTTGCAAGGATTTTTTCTGCATTTATGTTGTTACTTTTTGTCCAATATGCCAGTTTGTCTTGTCTGTGCACCTCCATATCGTTTTGGTTCAGGATATATTAACCTTAAATTTTTCAGATGGCGAGGATATCATAACTATTGGTTCCTCTTCCGAGCTCCAACAAGTGGTCAAAGACCACATGAGTGGTGTTTCTGGCGCTCCGTTCTCTGTTTTAAAAGCTCTCCGACTGAACGTTACTTGCAAAAACCAACTCCACCAAGTTAAACAGCTAACCATGCATACTACTACTACATCTAATATGACCCCATCGACGGCGGATTTTGCGGCATCGACTGTTGATCACTCCAAGTTACATGAAAACTTTGTATGTGATGGCTGTGAGGGCAGAATTTATGATATCCGTTACAAATGTCTTAAGTGCGCCGACTTCGACCTATGTTTTCGTTGCTTCACCGAAGAAAAACACTCAGAACATCCTTTCGGCGCCGTGCGTTATAACGAAGGGCAACGACACTTAATTGATGACATTTTTAATTTATCTCAGGCTATTATTTCTCACACATACGATATAAGCCTTGCTAGATCAGTTGGAACTCAGACGCTGACATATTATACACAAGAACAAACATCGAGTGATATTGCTACGTCGCTCCCTGTCAGGACCCCGCGACCTCCCTCTTCCCCAACCGGTGGGGCTGCGGAATGGGAGGTGTTGAGCGATGACTCGGATTCCGACTATGTGTTTGGCAATGAATTTTCCGCCGTGAAGAAGCCTGCTAAACCGTTGTTACCACCAATAGAATCCCGGTTAACTGAGTCTTCGCCGGACTCGCACACAGGCGAAGATCCCAAAAAATCCACAAATTATTCACTTTCGATCGGGTCTGTAAACACAACAGAGTGCCAGAGTTACACACATTTCACGCAGAGTGAACCAGAAAATTATCTCCAGGAGTGTACTAGTTCAGTCATGCAAAATCCTAAACAGTGTATATCATCGCAGACTTCAAAGCTGCTAAACGAACAGATTCAGTCGCCACCACGAATGCGTATAGCCACTAGTTCCGTGGGTTATTTTGAGGATGGCACTTGCGAGCCAGCAAGCAGGCTAAGACACACAGGCGTTTCCACAACAACATCAACTGATTCAGACCCAGATTCGCCATCCTGGAACTTGAGGACCGCCGTTCAAGAAGCCCTTAAAGGTCATGCTGACTATATTGTCGATGCATTCCGGAAACTCGGGTTGTCTGCTGCTCCCACTACACCCGCTGACGAGCTCAAAAAACTTTTGGATGCTGGCTATTCAAACGAGGATGGCATTCTTACATTCCTCTTGTCTGAAAATGGGAACAATGCTGCGGCTGTCCTCAATATAATTAATCAACAGAACATCTGAGTTCATCTGCATGCATTACTTTTTCATCATACTTTTAGCGCATATGCGCCTGTTCTACTATCAAACAACAGATCACCTAAACTATCATTTGAAGACATCTTGACATTTTATCATTTATATTCGACATTTGTATGCCTTTTGCCATTTTCATAAAAGCGCCATGCATCAAACATTCTAATCATATTTCTGCCTTTCTATTTCTTATCCATAAATCGGTTGGTCTGTTTATTTGATCACACATTTTTCGAAATAACAGGTCCTTCGGAATGACCTATGTGATACCTTAATACCGTTAGTGTCGCTGCTATAAGTTCCTTTTTCAAATGTGCGGAATCTGAATTTCCGGCCAATCCTTATACTGTCTATTTAAGGTGACAAAGAAATGTCCCGATAGTCCGGTCCATCACTCGCGATGCACGCTGATTTATAAAAGTAGTCTGGTTCTGGGCATTCCAGCTTAATGTAGGCATACCTTTAATTTAATGAAGGTTCCTTTTTCGAATTATGGAAGAATAGCAAATGCTCACTGCTTCCGTGCTTTTTCGATATTATTTTGTTCGCGCAGTCTAGTTTTTTTTCGGGCCATCACTACACACTAAATTTTTATCATATGTCGGACATGTGTTTTTCGGTCATCCAAGGCGGAGTTCATAGGTGGCAGCCATTTGTTTCACGGATATTATCGACCAGTCTTGCGTCACCATCACGTAAATAACAGGTGACGCAAATTTGTAGAAAGGTTCGGATTTTGGTAGTCACCTTTTTCATTTTGATGTTGGCACCTCATGTAGCAGGTAAATGTCGCCGACTTCGCCTATACCTATCCAATTTTCAAAATTAGCGAATGCCGGATAAGATAGAATATAAGCTCTTCGGATGATGCAAGTTTGTTTTAAAATGCTTGCCTATGGACTCGCAGGCGAAATAAGTCGTTGATGAAAGAATTCGCATCGATGTAGGACTATAATGCTTTCCGGTCCGCGTGGACGACTGTGGGATTCGTTTAGTGTACCGCCATTCTTATGTTCTACGTTATTTTTGATCCTCAGAAGGGGCGTTGCTAGCAGGCATAAGATGACAGTCGGCGGCACCGACATGCCCGTATTGTTACCTCTTAGGACGGTGACACATTTTCATAGACGAGCTCTCGCACATTCCTCATGGAAAACCGCCGCTAATAGCTCTGGGCAACAACGATCAGTATCCTATAACCCGGGCGTACTGTCTATGGATGTTAGGAAACTACTAACCTATTGAGACGTATGCTCGTGTATGGCAGTAGCCACCGTTGCAAGCGATGACGTGCAACATGGGTCGCACAGAGTGGACACAGAACCAATTAATTGCGCGTGCGCTGTTTCTAGCGCATTCCTCTGTCATCGTGGAACTAATTAATGCTAATGACGGCAGTGGCAACACAGTAGTGGCAAGCTCGAGATTATGTTAAGTGAGTATTTAATTATAATGCTCCAAACTCGA